ATGTTAGCTAACGAAATGTTGTCTATCTTTGTGAATTGTGGTTGTTCTACTCGTGAAAGAGTACTAAGTGCACTTTAACCACGTAAAGTGCAGTGTCACATTACGTGTGTATTACAGGCCTGTTTATATTCCTAACGACAGTGTAATCCCCCTGATGGTGAAGTTTATGTATACACACCTACCCGACAGATTATACACTCGATCAATACAATAACATTCGCTTACAGTGCATTCTTCTTCCGCTATATATCGTGTTTATTAGCTTAAAGTGCCGCTTCGATTAACGTGCACTTGTCCGTTATTTTGCTTCCTACTTTTAGTCAGCAAACCATTTTATCTAGAGAAAACTGCAATTATCATTTGGTACGTAATGGTCGAGACGATATTCTACTACATCTGATGTTGGAAGAAAAGCGAAATTGTATATACACATGATTTTCTATGTTTTGTGAAGTTATATTACATTATTCTGACTAATGACAATTATGCTTTTTTTTCCTGATAGTTCTAATATGAGACTGACTTCAATAATGACACACGATAGGGCTGGTAAGTAGGTCACCAACCAGTTCTATGGCTCATGCAGGTTTTATTGAGCCGTAGAACTGGTTGGTGACCTACTTACCAGCCCTATAGGATTTATCTTTTAATAACCGCTACTTTGGAATAAACCTGACTTTCTTTAACGCACTGTGTGGGCTTGTCCTAACTGATGCCAACATGAGTGATTGTTTCTATTAGTACAACTTTTAAGAGATGGAGTTATAAGAGGATGGAGTGGCCTAGCGGTTGAGTGATGTAGACTTTCTTCGGGGGGGGGGGGGGGGGGGGTGGCGGACACTGTTAAAAGTATATATTTTCTTTATAAATTATATAAATTTTAATTCGAAGAGATACCTGGAAGAAACTCTGCTTCATATGCCGAGGTCGCAGAAACAAGTTAACTCTACTGCACTTTCACTATAGACCGTCAGGTTTGAAAAGGGAACTTACTTTTTTATAAGGGGTTGTCCCAAACCAAAAGTCTCCGTAAGCGTACAACATAATAGTTCCTATTTATTATATTGGAGTGTAATTTTGTCAAGATTTAAAAAAAAATTATAACAGAGAGGCTATGTCACATTTGAAACGATCACCTCTAACAAGGAGTCTTGACCGCGTAAAGCCATTCTATCCCCAACATACCACATTCATCTGAAACTCTCCCTTTAACCCACTCAAGGCCACTTTATCATTCAAGCATAATCTGTATAATCCGTCCCCTGCTATCTATCGATTCCTCCCATTCATTAATCTTCATAATTATCAAACTAGGAATTCCCGTCCGACGATTTGAATTTCGTTTTAAGCGCAGTCGTTGAACTGTTCAGTCGAGCGAAAAGCTGGTCCTTCAGATTTGGTATGATTCAATGGGACTACGCGGTAGTTAAAGGGATTTATTGGGATTCAATGGGATTCAATGGGATTCAATTGGATTCAATGGGATTCAATGGGATTCAATGGGATTCAATGGGATTCAATGGGATTCAATGGGATTTAATGGGATCCAATGTGAATAAAAGCAATTTAAGAAGACGTAGCTGAACAATACTGGCTTTAATAAACTACTAAATATTTCAAGTTGGGATTTACTGGTAACCCTAAAACATATCTTTATACCTGGTTTTTTTGTTTGTTTTTTTTGTTTTTTTTTTGTTTTTTTGTGAATATAATTTCACCTGTAAAAATCATCAAGCAATAGCCTTATTATGGGCGGTGGGACACTACATTTAATTTTAAAATAATTTTCCAACATTTGTTTCGGTCCAATGCTGATGTGAGTAGTTAACTTAAGTGCATTTTATTATGTTATCCATCTACTGACGTTTTCCCTCACACATTCAGATAGAGTCTGATTGCTTGTATTATTTTTAAAAAGTACATGGCTCCATAGTCGTATAGACGATCCAATGATAGCATTTTTTAAAAAAAAATCAAAGCTCTAGTTCTTGACATAAAGTTGAGAGGAGACAGACGTGCATATGTATTAGGCCACATCTCTGCACACAGCTGATAGTGAGATATAACTGCATGTCTGTGCGGCTAGATTTATCAATAGGAAACAAAACTTTGCGATCCTATCGCCTTAAAAGAGTTTTCTCTCCTAAATGCGTTGCTGTCGCCAGCTAACGACACTCTATGCTCCGGGGGTTTTAAATTCGGGATATTTCGGGTTAGCAGCCATGCGTTTCCCAACCTCACCACAGTGTGTTTGTGTTTGTGTGTGTGCGTGTGTGCGTGTATGTGTGTGCGTATGCGTGTATGTGTGTATGTATGTGTTTGTGTTCGGGCGTGAGTGTGCGTGTATGTGTGTGTGAGTGTGTGTACGTTTGTGTGTGTGTGTGTGTTAAATTAACAAAATATATATATTTCATAAAATGTTTTTATTACTGAAATATCAATGTCAGTACTTCCACGAACATATAATATACACTTATGCCAATGTTTTCCTGAGCTACATAGAACACACTGCAGTAGGTACCACTAGATGTCGGTGTGCGACAACATTCTAAAGTCTCGTTACACCCATAAACAGGACGTGATTGAGTTGGTCTACATCAGCAAAGCCACATTCGATCTACACCAGCTAATTAAAAGATAAACAACTAAACAGCGGAAGAGGCTATCACTATATAAATAGAAGCCTTAATCCTTATTCAACTTATATATTGCACATGGGCTTTAAAAAATAACGATTAAATTAGCTTAACAACACCTCAAATTACATGAATTCATAAACAACTACCAATACCAGCCATAACAAATAGATCAATTACCTATTGATTTCTAAAAAAATAAACATTCCAAATAACAGATCTCCATATGAAACGGTTTTTGTGTTGATAGAGGTGTATATGTGTGTGAGTGTGTTAGTGGGGAGGTGATGGGGTGCTGTTTATGTGTGTGAGTGTGTGAGTGTGTGAGTGGGGAGCTGATGGGGTGCTGTTTATGTGTGTGCGTGTGTGAAGTTGTGAGTGTGTGAGTGAGTGTGTGAGTGGGGAGGTGGGCAGAACGCAGATCACCCGATACATTATTTGAAACCTATATTTCAAATAAACTTGCTATAATAAAATTTGATCACGTCTCATTATTCATCTCTACCCTATTAAGATATTTAAAAAAATAATAAAGGGCAGAAATCAATCACATCAATAAAAACAAATATAATGACTCAAATATTTCACTCAAACGATATTATCAAGAAATGAGATATTCCTCTAATTATATTGAACGCATGCAAAAAAAGGACACTATAAAAAATGTATATTAATATTTTCCAACCTAATTCAATTAGTATATATCATTATAACAGCTCTGTTTTAGAAGGAACTAGCGCTGCGAAAGGCAATGAAAATAATATTAATAAATAATCTACCAAATAGGCGATACAAAAAAAAATCTTGGCCAGTCTCACATAACCTACCAAACATGTTTATTGCTTTTAAGTCTATTTCCTTTGTTATTTATGTTGTGTATTTCATTACGCTAATCCAGCAAAGCGGCGCTACTCTCGCTGACAAAAAAGTTGTCTAACTTGTCACAGGGTTGTAGATAACTTTTCAGTGCTGTGTTTGATTTATGCGCGGTTCTAAACTGACGTCTAGACTTTTTATCTCCAGAAATACTAGTCTGGCCAATTTAGGTTGATAACTAGACATTTTAGAGTCAGATATAAAGTACCAAACATTTTAGGTTAATTGCCGTGAATGATCAAAGTGTTGGTATAAAAAGAAAATTCTATACGTTAATTCGCTAGAAGGCTTTTAGTAATTTAAGTAAAGTGGTTGGATTGTGTTCAGAGGCTATAGAAAAATACTGATAATTTAATATAGATTATTACCCTGACAAACTACACATGCGACTGATAAAATTTAAGTAAGGTTAAAAAATGTTATCAAGTAGTTGAAGAATGATGTTTTATTTCTAACCAATTATTTTATCAATGTTGATAATTTAGGAAATTAGTGGCTAATTGTTATTGTCTATCGAGGCGTCTAATTAATGAACAGGCGCAATTGGAGAGGTTTTTATAACTGGCAATCGGTAATATTATTGTAGCGGTTTAATCGTGAGTTGGAATGGTTATTGAAGTTGAATTGATGGTAAATGAATGTTTTTATTAGAGATTAGTGTTGATTTGATGTTGACTTCTATTACGTAATTTAGTAAAGGTAAGAAGAAAAAAAGAGTAATAAACTTTGATGGCTGGCAATGGTATGATTGTTGGCTTATATTGGCTTCATACATTGGTGACACAATTATGATATTATGGTGATACATACTTTTGTATGCAAACACGAGTGAGATGTGTGTAGAGAATGATGGTTATACAAGAACATTTTGGACAGTGGTGATACAAACTAAAGTGGTGATGTGATATAATATATGGTTAGACAACATGGTGACACGTATTAGTTATAGATAAAGGTGAGACAAAGGCAACAGTCGTTGGTGACTGATAGAGGTGACGAAGAGCTTTGACAAAAAATGGCGACACTTAGTAACAGAGAGAGTTTATAGACTACAGCTACATACAATGGTGATAGACAAGGGTGAAAGACATTGATAACAGATAATGGTGACACCATGCTAAAAGATAATGATGACACACCGTGGTGACAAATAATGGTGACATATAATGGTGACACACCGTTGTGACAAATAATTGTGACATACCATTGTGACAGATAATGTTGACACACCATGGTGTCAGACAAAATGGTTTCACACACTGGTGACAGAAAAAGGCGACACACCATGGTGACAGATAATGGTGACACACCGTGGTGGCAGATAATGGTGACACACCGTGGTGACAGATAATGGTGATACACCGTAGTGATATATAGTGGTGACACACCATGGTGACAGATAAAACGGTTTCACAAAATGGTGACAGATAAAACGGCTACACACAATGGTGACACAACTGGTAACACAGACACCATAACACCACCTACGTGCATTGCTGACGGCGAAACTGTCCGAGACGTCCAAGACAACTGTCTCGTTTCTCATGTGGTAGCTGTAGTGCCGGACATACTCGCTGTTGAAGACCTGCACCTCGTGACGGAAGGCCGTCATAGCCTGGACAGAACTGCGGTCAAAGATCCCACCTGGGGAGTAGACAAGGCACAGTAGAGGTCAACGTGTCAGGTGGGGGGGGGGCAGTAGAGGTCACTGTGTCAGGTGGGGAGTAGACAAGGACAGGTACAGTAGAGGTCATTGTGTAATGTGGGAAGTAGACAAGGACACTGTATAGGTCATTAAAGTCAGGTGGGGAGTAGACAAGGACAGGTAGAGTAGAGGTCATTGTGTCAGGTGGGGAGTAGACAAAGACAGGTAGAGGTCATTGTGTCAAGAGATGAGTAGACAAGGACAAGTACAGTAGAGGTCATTGTGTCAGGTGGGGAGAAATAGGTACACACATGTGTTTCTTGTCACTTTCAGTTGTGGGGGAAATTTAATGTATATCTGTAGAGTTGACTAATTCATGCAAATAAAACAATCGTTTCATTCAGCTGTGGAGATATGCGTGAATACCCGTTTGTGTAGATTTACATGTATACCTGTCTGTAAAGATATAGGCCTACATGTCTAGAGATATGTAGGTATACCTTTCTATGGAGATGTATATGCATACATGTCTGTTGAGATGTATATGTATGCCTTCCTGCCTATACAAACATATATATATATATATATATTTATATATATATATATATATATATATATATATATATATATATATATATTAATACTAATAGTTTCGCTGTCTGTCTATGTATCTATCTGACAAGAACGCTCTAGAGAAAACACAAGGAAAATAAAAACATGCATAGTAATTCGAAAAACGAAGTATGACGTCGACACATTTAGCACAGAGTAGAAAATAATCTCAAGCCGGATAGTGCACACATTAATATGACGTCATTGATTATCGAGTAAACTTTCAATACAAAGGCAATTTGGTCTAATCTAAGTGGTTTGCGTGAAGAGTTTATTTCATACAATTTTTCGGGTAGGGGCGAAGCCCCACCCCCGCGTAAGAACGTCTGAGAACGTCTGACTTTTTCCTCTCCGGAGAGGGGTGGGGGTACTTGAAATTTTCGGGGGCGGGGGTAGAATTTTCTGGGAGGGGGCGGACACTGGAAAAAGTATATAATTATATTTCGTTGAATGGGACGGTAGACATGTTTTTTTTTTTGGGGGGGTGGGGGTGGAGGGGGGAGGGTGGAGGGGTGGGTGGGTGGAGGGGTGGGGGGGTGGGGGGTGGGGGGGGGGGCGGTGTGTGGAGGGGGTGGTGTGTGGGGATGGGGGTGGTGTGTGTGTGGGTGGTGTGTGGTGGGGGGTGGGGGTGGGGGGTGGTGTGGGGGTGGGGGTGTGTGGGGGGTGGGGGGTGGGGGTGGGGGTGGTGTGTGGGGGGGGTGGGTTGGTTTTAGTTTAGAGAAAATAGACAGCACTATCAGCCTAGCGCCCGTTGTACCCTTCCTCAACGGGCCAATTTTCTCGTATATATATATATATATATATATATATACATATATATATATATTATATATATATATATATATATATATATATATATATATATATATATATATATATATATATATATATATATATATATGTATATATATATATATATATATATATATATATATATATATATATATATATATATAAATGCAGGTAAACCTGTCGGTGGAACTATACAGTTATACCTGTCTTTTGAGAAATATATGCATACCTGTCTGTGTATATACTTAGGTATACCTGTCTGTGAGATAAAGCACAACACTGTATTGTGTACTTCATTTTTTTTATTAGGTATGGAGGAATATATGTACACCTGTTTAATAGTCGTTAAACATTAAATACCGTGTCTTTCAATGTTAGGGAAATATATGTTAAGTAGGCAAAGACACGTAACTATGGGGTCGTCTCTTTCAGCTACGGAGACACGAATGAACGGGAGAAATTGAGTAACAAATTACAGGATGTATGTGTGTTAGGTTTGGAGAAATTGTACACTCTCTTCCAAGGACATTGTAGATTTAAATATAAACAATGCCTATTTTTGCTGTAAAGGCTGTTTTCCAAATTATTTACTGCTAACGAAAACATCATATATCCTTGTGCTTAAGTAACACTGATAATGTTATATATATATTAATAGAGAGAGAGAGTAATTGAAATCCGTCTATATATATATATATATATATATATATATATATATATATATATATATATATTAAATCTTCATTGTGTCCCTTTATTTTTTATGTTATTATGTCATACATATGTTATTCAATACATGTTATAATCAAAAATGAAAAAAAATTAAAAATCGGATTCATTTGAAATACATTTTTATCAATTTGTATCTTAATTTAGCTCTAGATTTACCATACATTATTTTTTTTTCCTCAGACAAAAAGTTTTTGCTTTTGTTTTAGATTTAAGATGGTTTACTTTTACATAATGCAAAACTTATAATTACAATTTTATTTTTTTAACCTGAAAATGCAAATTTGTAATTAAAGGTTGATTCAATGGATTATTTTGTCGGCGTTGTGGGTTCAGGGGGTTTGGACTAAAAGAAATGTGAGATGAAAGAAAAATAATATTATAAATATTACAATAGAAACCTCTTAAACATGATCAAACTAAGTAGGCTGTTTTAGGTTAGATGTATACACAATACAGCATGAGGGATGAAACATTTGAACCCCAAATTTGAACCTTTATACAAATGAAGTCAGTGATGAAATAGATGGACTGCTTAGATTCTTTTTTGACACTCTAACAGTACAACACTGTTACCACAAATGACCACCATTCCAATTTTTCTCTTTTCTCCTGATTTTGTTTCTTCAATAGCATCATCAACAACAAGATTCCTAAAAGGGTCAAAGCCTCTGAGAGTACCTGGTACTCAGAGGCGAAGCGAGGGGGGGGGGGTGGCGAGGGGGGGGGCATTTTTATGTCCCCGGGCGCCGACCTTGGGGGGCGCCAAAATGGGTTGGAAAAATAAATTGATAGCTTGAGTGGGGGGTGCAAATCGAAAGTTTGTCCCCGGGCGCCGGGAATGGTCTCTACGCCTCTGCTGGTACTTTTCTGTTACCATTCAGCTTCAATGTTAAAACCTTTTCCATAATTTTTTCAACTCTGGTGGATGAGGTTTACTCATTTTGGATCTAGATCTGGAACTTTTGGGATTTTAATTTTTTTTTTTTTTTTTTTACATATTATTTGATTTGATGTTTTTAAATTTCAATTTTTACCTTGGCGTTTTAACTGGGGGCAGTATCACCCAGACAATGGAAAATTTACGAAAAGTTTGCCAAAAATTTGCCAATTTTTTTTTTTTTTTTTTTTTTTTTTTAAATTATTATTTTTTTTTTTTTTTTTTTTTTTTTTTTTTTTTTTTTTAATAATACTTTTACTTGCAATTAAAACAAGTACATCAACATCAAATTTTTTAACATAATTTTGAACACCAAATGAAAACGAAAGGTTTTGCAAATGTACATAATGAATATTTACATGATGTCATGTATTTGATTATAAAAAATTGCAAAGGATGCAGTAAAAGGGGTGAAGGTCAAATGAAAGTGTCAGAAGTCTGGGTGGGGAGAGGAAAGGAAATTTTCCAGAGAGGGTCAATGGGACAGTGAAGCATTTTCTATATATATATTTTTTTTTTTTTTTTTTTTTTAAAATACTTTTACTTGCAATTAAAACAAGTACATCAACATCAAATTTTTTAACATAATTTTGAACACCAAATGAAAACGAAAGGTTTTGCAAATGTACATAATGAATATTTACATGATGTCATGTATTTGATTATAGAAAATTGCAAAGGATGCAGTAAAAGGGGTGAAGGTCAAATGAAAGTGTCAGAAGTCTGGGTGGGGAGAGGAAAGGAAATTTTTTCAGAGAGGGTCAATGGGACAGTGAAGCATTTTCTATGTAGGGAAACAACTTAAGTTGACTAGTTGAAAGGGTGTTGTAGTGGTCGCATTGAGTTTTCAAAAGGTTGCAGTGTGAAAGATGAGGGGAAAGAGACAAGATTTAGAACTTTAAATAAGTTCTGGATATTGATGTTGCGGTGGGTGGTGGGGTCGTTGGAACAGTTAAAGGGATTGTGGGGTTATCATGTCTGAGGGTAAAGTGGATAGACACTTCTGAAAGAAAATTACTCAATTCACGAATTGCGTTGGATACCATGATTATTTATATAAACAATTTAATTTATTAAAGCTATTATATTTTATTTTTTTATTCGGTTTTAATTTTTTCTTCACAAATAGATAGAATAAAAACATCTCACTGCATTAAAAATTATTTTTAACGTCATTTTTTTTTAAATTTTGGTATAAAAGCAAACATATGAATCTTATTATTAAAACATTTATCTATTTTAATTCATTTGTGGGAAATTAATAATAATTCTCGCCCCTGATATTTTTCTACTATTTGTAGCAATGCAATGGAAACATTTTAAATTGATCAGACCGTTGGGTTATCACGAATGCTTGTATATAGGCGTACCTAGATTATGTATCCTCCTAATCTACATCAGATACTTTTTTTTGGGTGGGGGTGTGGAGGCAGGGGTTAATTCTTAGGACGGGAAAAGGGGGTAAGGGTGAACATTTTTTTGCTTATTATCGTAGAATGAATACAGTATCGCATTATATTAATAATTCATTATTTCAAGAACACTGTTTAACATACACAATCAGAGTCTAAAAAATGGCCATACAAAGGGCATACAAATCAGAGTTTTTTAATATGCACGCAAAACAAGTTTGAAGAAAATACTCCATGAATTTCATTCAGAACTACATACATATGTATGTTTAGACTTACAAATTTCTGAAGAGACCTCTTTGGAGTGCATATTGTGCACGTTTGGTTAATTGTGATAATAAAAATGATTGTTTTAATAACTAATCAGATTTAGAGAATGATTATATATATATATATATATATATATATATATATATATATATATATATATATATATATATATATATATATATATATATATTATATATATATAGGCCAATATATATATATATATATATATATATATATATATATA